GGAGGAGTGTGATATTGTTCAGCATTATCCAGAGAGACAACAGCATACTCCCACTCACTTTCGGAGACTCTCTTCAAAGTGATTTATNAACATTTTTGCCAACTGCCCGTTTGAAGGAGCTCAGAGAGCCTTGGATGCTAGGAGCCTTGCTGGTTTGCAAGTATGCAAGACCAGCCCTTACGGTGAGAAAGCTTCTTCTTATAGTTGTTTTCGGCCTAGAGAAGGATGATTTGAGCTGACTACCCCTTGTTTTGGAAGGAATCAATGAGTAGGAATCCGAAAAATTTACCGCGGTTTTGTCTGTCAACAAGTAATGTATCATGCACAAGTCAAAAAGCTCGCGCTTAGACTCTAGTAAAGGAATGTTGAAATATTTGTTTCTAATAACGGCCTTAGGAATTTTTGAGTACAGAAAACCTCTCCAGGAATTAAAATTTTCCGAGTGAAATTGTTTTGAACCCTTTCTAGCAACATAATGTTCTTCTTTTTATTAGGGCAGAAAACAACGGTACCGCTTTTCACGAGCGAACGGACATAGGTCTTATATGCACGAACAAGAACATTTGTATCCTTTGTGGTGAGCGCCTTAAAGATCTGGTACGTACGGTAAAGAGCAATACGCTGGATATGGCTACAATGAGACGAGAAGTCGAGTTTGTCATTGTAATGGAAGCCCAAATCCCTGACCTCTCTCACTTTGACGTAAAACTTCAGTGTTCCGATTTAAGGTTGTCTAGATCGGTAGTGCTAAACTCCCGAACGAACGAGTTGCTAGTCCAACTGTGGAACGGAGTCTCAAGGGAAGAACTGTCGAGTTCTGAGCACTTTTTCCTTTGCGCTTGCATAGTAACTGGTCTGTATGGATACCAAAAGCATGCTAGTTCTACCTTGTTGCTAGTAAATGGAATTCACCGTGGCATAGTCTTCTATTGTGGTAAATGTATTTATATTCGCAGTTCCCATATATTCCAGTTGTTTTGTGAAAAATGAGCTTTTCAGCGAACATTCTCTGAAAGGAAACTACCCTGTTTCTGAAATGTCGGGTATATCATAGCTACAAAAGATTGAATTACCAAGGAGCAATATAGTTCCTCGTATTCCGGAAATCTCCCTCCTTAATACGAACTGCCCAGCAAGAAGTTGATGAGATCACGAGCATATTCCTTGTATGGACTTCTATGTCATTATTGAGGAGGAGTGTGATATTGTTCAGCATTATCCAGAGAGACCCACTCACTTTCGGAGACTCTCTTCAAAGTGATTTATGGCCACAAAAAGTAATAAGCCCATATCAAAGGAAATAGTATTGAAAAAGGTGGTTTGCTTTCTTTGATCGATGCCGCTCTTCGATGACCCCGATGAAACAGGGTGTGCAAACGCTTAAGGCTTCTGTAGGCTTAAGTCGGCTAGAGAAATTTGCATGAAAACGGAGCCCTAGTTCCCGGGTGTGGGGGTACAGGCATATTGTTCTCCGCTAAAGGAACACTATTAAGTAAGCTTACAACAAAGGTGAACATGGCCATCCCACTGCCATTCAGCAGCAATTATCAGAAGGAGTCATGCCTTCTGTTACTCAATTGTTTCCATTTAACAATCTCAATTCGCACTCTTCCCATATCAAAGCTATTTATTCAAATTATTCTCTCAGAAACACTTTTGATGCTTACTCATCATCTGTGGGCGATTACATCATCCATTGGCTGACATTCAGTCAAAGACTTTTTTGATCTAATCGTTTAGGAATAACTGTAGTGAGCCACGGAAAAGGCTAAATTGCAGTGACATTTATAACCCTGAGCGATACCACTGCCAACTTCCAAAAATTTCCTAGCAGTATGATTCTCTGAAATAGTGCTACTTGGCAATTTTTGAGTACTACACCACCCAACCCATTGCAAAGAAAGATAACTTAGAGACGTCAAATACGTCACTACGATTCTGAGTGGAAGACGAATGCGGGGGCAACACAGACTAATTAACTTTTTTGACAACCCAGACTTTAATCTTTTATCCTTAATGAGTATAATGGCATAAGAATGAACGATTTATGTACACAATAAACATCGTGCTGGTAAGTACTGCTAAGCTACCAAGAGCAGTGGATTATTGAGTCATCTGCGATCTGGCCAATAGCTTGGACATTTCAAGAGGGATTTTTCCTTAGGTTTTTTAGGATTGGAGGAGCGTACCATGGAAGAACGCATAATGTCGTGCAAGAGTAATGAGAGAAAAAGGGCTAGTCTTCATAAAGTAAATTACCCTTGCAGAGTTTTCGTTTCTTCAGCTGATAAATGGCTCAAGTGATACTGCTCTCTGTGTAATAGGTGTGAAGAAGCAGTCTGCTGCGGTGTCCGTGCCGCCTTGCTGAGCGCCCACTGCATCGGCGGTGGATGGCTCGAACTGGCGATCGGGACGGCGTGAAGATGACCGCAATCGTAACGCGCTTGCAAGCTCAACACCTGCTGCCACGCGGGCATGGTAGGCCTCGCGGCTCCGGTATCTATACGGTAGGCCGGATACATCGGGTTGGCACTGCCCCAATACACTGGTCGGTTATTCGTCCAGCGCCGAGCTTGCTCAAGGCGCTGGACGTTGGATCTTAAAAGGGCATGCATGTCTCTGCGCATAGCACACCGCAGAGATACGTGATGATACCAACAACAGTTTTACACTAAGCACATGGATGAATTATACGGATTTATGATTAACTACATGCATGGAAATAACGAGAACAAATGTCACGACAAATAGAGTAAATGCGTTTAACCATGATCACGATAATGAGACAAGTACTGGAAAAGAATATAATATAGTACTATATATGCTTGTTAAAACCATACTAAACCTACGGTTGGGTACGATCCTTATCACCCTTAGTCGGAACCATACAGTCCTCACAACCTCCTTGCGCTACTACTGCTGGATCATCTTTGGCTGCGGACCACAGACAGTGGCTGGCGATGCAATGGTGCTTGGGATTCCTCTGGAGCTGCGATCGGTAGTGTTAACGTCGAGTCGAGAAGACGAAGACGACCAGGCTGCTGCGAAGTGACGGTAACAAGAGGTGACTGATGCGATCGTCGCATGATGGCATAAGAGACCAGAGTCGTGGCCATGCATAGCCACGTGGCGTCTTCCCCTTTTCTTCAGCATACTGTACCTTCCTGGCGGGACCGAGGTGCAGACCACGCCAGCCGTCCTATGAAGTCGAAGGGAAGGCACGACACTGTCATACCAACGAAATCTTACTGCTATTCATCAAGAGCGTATGTCGAGATATGAATAGTCTTCCTCGACAGTGTTTATTCAAAGAAAAACGTCGCGACACTGTCCAACAAAGGTCACCTCGAAAGTGTACGATTGATAGAACAGTTCATGGTAACTGTCGGGGACCCTTTTCAGATTGAAAAGTGGAAGTGTCGGTTAAGAACAGTTTATCCGTGGCGAAAAAAAGCGAGAAACCCGAAGAATCCACGGATTCTCAGATGTTTTGAGAGCGTTGAACGGAATAACTATAAGAGAGTTGGCATTGGAGGGATACTACATGGACAAGAGTTCAGTTATTGCAATCGCGTTGTTGTCCCGACTAGGTATATTATTCATCATCATTTGTGCTTAGTGTAATTTTGCAGTCTCTGTGACGCCCTTGAAACACGTCCAATGCGGGATGTAAACGTCGACTGAGCCAATCTTTGAGCCCCTAATGCTCTTGACTAGTCAGTTTGTAGACTCGACAACGGTCCTTATGGCGCCCTTTCCTTGCGAGCCGAAGTGTTGCTCTAGTTAGAGCTCTCGGGAACTACTTTCTCGTGAACGTGAGTCTCGTTCATCATGACTCATAATCGTGGTGATTGAAAACGTCAAATATACAGTATTCAAGTACTTCCTACATCATGCAGGCAATTAAAGGACACTTTCTGCGTAATGGTTTGACGTTTAGCACATGATCTGTTTTTGGGATAATGATATGATATTATCAACTGTACCCTTCAGAATAATATTAACAGGAAGTTTAATAGAGAGCGAGAAAATCCTATTACCAGGCATGCAAGTCCGCCCTTTCACAGCTGGGAAAGTGAATCGCTCGTGAACGCAGTAACTGTTCCTGCAGCACCGGGATCGTTCGTGAAGACTGTAGCTGTTCTTACGCCATCCACGCCCTGAAAGAAGCTTGTATTCATCAAAAATTGACTATCAGCTGTCGTCTATAAAGTATTGCCAGCTACTATGATGGGAGACAGTAGCCCTCGAAATCCAGCAAAAGTGCTGCCATACTTCATCTGTGACACAATGGTGAGTGTTAGGGTTGCAATGAAGATGAAATGACAATGGGCAGCCTCTTCTTTCACATTTACTGTTTATTATTGTTTCAAAATTTAGGCATTGGAAAAGTGACCTTCTTCGAAATACAACAATTTCGGGAAATCCTCGGTACTTGTAACAAAGACTAGCGACAACTTTGTTCCACCCCACCGAATAAAGGATTCTCATCTAGGGTTTAAACTCTTTCCGAATATGGGAACCTTAAAAGTTCGCTTTGGAAAAACGAATGGCAAAAATGCTACAGACTGAGTCTCACTGTCGCCATGGGTCATGGGTAGTTCTTGAGTTTCCAACATGTGCGCGCCATTGCCGATGATGCGCCCTTTTCGGGGTCTCTAAAACACGTCAACCTTTGAGTACGGCATACGGTAGATATGATCTTCGAGCCATTTTGCCCTTTCTAGACCGTTTTTTGATGTGACAACGAATCATAAGACATACTCGAGGGCCACACATCCACCAAATAGGACAACTCATAAATCATTTTCACCTTAAACTGTGCCTTCGAGGAAATCAGAGAGTTTTTTTCCAGTCGACAGCGAAGGCTTGAGTACCTCGTTTTTGAGTCTATTTTTTCAGTCGGACATTGTTGGATTGCTGCTGTGTGGTGTAACTATCTATGGAGTACTAAGTTCGAAAAAAATATTCCCTATATTCACTTTCATAGCTACAGTATTCTGCTCAGCCACTTCCTTATTGCTGTTACAAGATCTAGGCTTGAATATCCTACTGCTCGACTATCTATTGAACGATTTCTCGTAAGTTGAACTAACAAGACATTCTTTTCTGTCAAAAATCACCAATAGATGAAATACTTTCTTTGTACTTTTCAGTTTCAAAATTCCAAGTTGGCAACAGAATTTGTCATTGTTTCTTGCTGGCCTCATAAGATTTGTCAGATTCTTTTTGACCATGCTTCAAATGTTGATGACCGTAAATCGCCTTTGTGCCGTATTACTTGTGACTAGATATCAGCGCATCTTTACGTTTCGAAACACCATCACCGCCGTCGTAGTGTTCCTTCTTCTGAGCGCACCACCGTTGCCAATCTTCATTTTTCGACTTGGTAAGTTTTTCCCTAAAAAGGACTCGTACTTGCAATCATGCTTTCTGGGCATCCTGCTCCTTTATTCGTTCCACTACCGAGTTCTCATGTATCGTCAGCTTTACAGTTTGATGTCGGTACCGGCCGAAAGGCTCATCACGTGATAGTTACTGGTAAAGCTATTACTGAAATACCATTAAGAATCTAATAACGGCAAGCAGGGTGTCTGTAGTGCAAGGGATAAAGAGCACGGCATACGGAAAGCACAGAGAACGGCCACGAATGGACTTGAACCGTTCGAGGCCATACTTCTGCTTCCTTCCAATCAGCTTTGTCTACGACTGAACAATCTTTGGATTAGTTACTTATTACGGAAGCAGAATGTAAACAATAAACATCAAGTTCAAGGGTAAAATAACTTGTTGATAACTCATGCTTGAAATAAACGAAAGCCGTTGTTCAGGTGGCTGTACTGCTTACTTTGTTCCCGAAGTTCTTGGATACCGTTATGCTTCTTCTAAATGTGTAAGCACCATAGATTTCATTCTGGCCATCTTTCGTCTCACAATGTTCAGTATCATTATAACTATAGACTGTGCTGTTTGCTATATTCAGTACAGGAGAAGAAACAAAAACGTAAGTTAATTAGTCTGTCAATCAATTAAGGATCTTACCTTTGTATAGTGAACGAAACAACAGAGCAACAGCATAGTAAGGTACTCTAGGGCATGGGTCATTGAAACTTAATAGCTGAAAGCAGCAACTTGAACGCTTAGTAGACGACGAAATTTACTCCACTCTGGTTGGATTTGTGCCCTCAAGAAGGTTACGTAGGACGAAAAGGTATTTGGATGGGGCGTAATAAAGGCTAGCATGCCAGACTGCACGCCCACGACCACTCAATACTTCTCATAAGGAAGTGTTTGACGGCCTTGTGAGGGCTCATATCAAATCATACCAATGGAGCATGTTTGTGGTGAACGCAAGGTTCACAGTACCACCAAAAACGAGCGCGTTCAAACGAAGTCCTCATACTTCGGAACGTCATTCTGCATTAATTTATCATCGAATTCATCAAAACTTTAGCCTTATTCAGCAAAGATACAGTAGCGCTCAAAAGTATTCGGCGAAATGCTTCTTAAGTTATTATTTTCAGTAGTAACTTCTTTCCTACTGGATCTAATCAAGCGAAATTTCAGTATGTGTAGCATTGGTGTCGTCTGAATATTTATCACTATTAACCTGCAATCTGATCATGTTCCAGATATCCAAAAGGGCTTGAACAAAAAATCAACTGGAAATACGAATGATGTTCCTTCTAGGAGTCCTTTCCTTTTGCCATGAAACGCTTCCCCCATCAGTATGTGGATATGGCTGTTTTGCAGTCAAGTAGTGTTGGACAGTGTAAAATATGCTTCAGTTAAACATATTGAAATTTCATTTGATTTGCTTCTCTGGGTAAAAAAGTTACGGCAAGTTGAAATTGGCCGAATACTTTTGAACGCTACTGTATATGAAATATGGTCGCTGCCTTACCTCAAGCCCAACATGGTAATCATGTGGATGCATGAAAACAGCGCAAGCAAATACTTTGCTCTATGCAGCAATTCATAATGAATGGCATCATCATCGAGAATAGTTTTTAAAGATTGTTTCGTTATGTTATTCTCGAATAAAGCGATCATCTTCTTCATTCATCCATTTCAGCGCAACGCACAAGGAAAGCAAGGATCACAGTCTGCCGAGCTGCAGTTTGTACTGATGGTAGGTTGAAATTTTTTTATATTATCGGCCAAATAGCTACCAATGCAAGGAAATCTCAAAAGGGATGCAATCAAGGAGTGAGGATCATATTATGTTCTTCCTGATTGCACGTCATCTCAACAGACTAAAACATCTCTTCGTAGCAAATTATGTTATCTCATCAAATTTAATTAACAGGAGTAATACGATTGATCGATTTGTTGGAAATAATCACTCGAGATATCTGCATTTTTTCACTGCGAAAGGTTATTTCTACCCATTTGTGAAGCCCGGGGACGTGGACTACGTGCGTCCGAGGACGCGCGCGGCAACTTGCGCGGCGAAATTCGTAACGATTTGTACGACTCTGACGCCAATTTTCGGAGCAGAAATTTGAAGAGGAGTAATTAACTAGGGTCAGATGATCTTTCTAATCTACTTTACTTCAAATTTGGGCCCCAATGATAGGTACTAAAGTCGTTCAAATCGTTATAACTTCGCCGCGCAACTTGCCGCTCGCATCCTCGGACACACGTTCGTCCACATACCCGTGAAGCCCTACACCCGAACCGTGTGGCTGCTTTCATGGAGAACGACCGTTGCGCGCGTCCGCCGAAAGCAGGTCACCCCGCCCACTTCGCGCGCGGCACACCCGACTGAGGGCTTGAAATGACGTTACAGTACCACCAAGTGTCAGTGGAGCGAATGACTTGCATTTGTTCGTGTTATCTTCTGTTTGAGCTGACTGCGGGGAAGCCAGCGCAAATCGTATGCTCCACTGACAACTGCGACGTCCGTCTGGGAGTACTGACCCGTCGCATACGTCGGCTGCCGCGTGACCTACTTTCGACGGACGCGTGCAACGAAGCGCACCCCCTGATCGGCGTACTATGAAAGCAGCCCGTACTTCTCTAGCCGAACGCACTGCATGATCCAGAAACGCAATAGTCGACTAGAGAGCGAAAAGTGTAGGTTAGGTTAGAATGATTGGTACTTAGGAACACCTAAGAGCTGGGGGAATGGGTTTTGCAGCTTAAGCCTGGAAAGAGATGGAAAGAGAGTAGCCTGGGGTAGTGGAAAACTTAATGCATCCAAAATGTTGGGATGGATTAGATATTGTTCGCTTTGATACTCTCCTACTGAGAGAGCGCAGGCAAAGTGTGGTCCCTCTCTGGCTACATTTTCACCAGTGATTACAGTCAACCCAAAACCTCATATATTCGGTAAACACAACAAAATAATTCCGCCGTACTGAGATGTTCCAGGAAACGTCAGGAGAAGAAGTGAAGTATTTATAATTTCAACTTTCGTTTCAGACCGTCATACTTGCAGCTCTTAGCGGATTGAGCACAGTACTACGCAAGTTGGTTGATCATATGGACTGGTCAGAATTCGTTGCACACTATGCTCAAAAACATTTGACTATCCTTGCAGCTTATGTTTTTCTGTAAGTAAACTTCAGTCTAATGGGTGTGGGTACTTCTCCCCGAAAATCGCGTCGCGCTCACTGCACCCAATGGCGCGCAGTCGCGTGCTATGAAGGGCAAGCTTCGAATCACCAATGGGGGATACGGTAACCGCCGCGGAACCCCTGCAGTTTGTCAAGGGAATTTGGAGAAAAGTACCGTCACCCATATCTGTGTAGAATATACGCCATTATCATAGATTTCATTAATAAATTTTAGGATCACAGTCGGATTCATCAATCGACAGATACGAAAGGAAGTTCTTGACTTGTTATGCTTTTGGAAACGGAAACAAACCATGCGATTGGTCACGAGTATGCCAAATGTCGCCCATATGCGAGTGATGAAACATCACTGTTTAATGCCGTCGTCGAGAAGGAAAACCTATGCGAATATTCAGCCATGTCGATGCAAAGTGGACAACACTTGAGTAATCAACTCATTTCACCTAACCACCATTTCACATGCAGGATTCTCATTCCAGACTGGACTAGTGATATTGTCGATTTGGAGAAAATAAACACAGAAAATTCGATTGATGTTGTGAAAGATCGTGAAGTTAGTAAAGCATAGTTCGCCTAGTTCAGTAAAGTTTATTACGTCCGCATAAGGTTCTCTCCGTTTTTATAACAGTCAAGCAGAGTTCTTTAAAGTTCTTGATTGGGCTGCCATTACATAGGCGTTTTTGAAACACTCATATATAAATATCCTCCCCAGAAATGAAAAAAGATAAGGCGGGACCACGTGAGCACAAATCCTCCTAGTCAAGGTGCGCTTACCTGCTTGAAAGGAAGACTACCGAAAGCAATGTTTCCTTGAGTTGGAGCTTCTTCGACCTATGCTAATCAGGGACATGAAAAGTCGCTCAGAAAAAACACAAGACTGGAAAAGGAACCGGCGTATTAAAAGGGGTTTCCTGAAACAGAAGATTGGATTATGAAAAATTACTAGGCAGGGACAACATCCCTCAAAAGTCGTCCTATCATCTGGAATTTGCTCTGCTGGTCAACTGCGTACTACAAAATCCAACAAATTCAACTATTACTGATGATGACGACATACTTGAAGTTCTAGGAGCAATTCTCGTAGCTACTACGTTAGGACTAACCGCAACACTTAAAGTATCCCATAAGACAGTTCGCTGTCGAGGGTAATTTCCCGGCTTTTAAAGAATCTTCTCAGTTTGAGTGCATCAATGGCGTTAGGGATTGAACACGAACTACCTTACAGTTATTTACACATTCACTACTATATCGCTTCGATGCGACACAGAGTGATCTGGGTATTTCCATGCTAAATGCACGTTAGGAATAAAAAGCACATGCTAATATCGAAGGAAATGGGTTTGTTGGTGAACTTACACAGACAGCGAGCACTTAGAGCAGCTACTAAGGAGTATTTTCACTGCAGTACTTCATGGTAGCTGCTCAGAGTGCTCGATCGAAGCTTGTGACGGGTTGTTCTACGACAGGCAGAAAATAACATGGGGGCAAATTAGCAAGAACGACTAGGAGATAGAAGACCAGATGATGATAGTTTTTTTGTCCCAAACCTTGTATCCGGAAGTTTTCTACTCACAACTCTTTGTACCCTGGATAAAGGGAAATCGAGCATCAATAAAGACGCAGTTGATATAGTAGCGCTCGAAAGTACTCGGTCAAACGCTTTGACGCTTTTTCGTTCATAACTTTTTTCTTAGTGGAGCAAATCGCGCGAAATTTCGATATGTTTGACTAAAGCATATATCACACTATCCCACACTCTTTAACAGCAAAGCATCAATATCCGCATAACTAAGAGTAATACTTTACTTTTTGCGATGGCAGATTTCACTAAAGGCAAAGCTATTGACGTCTGCAGTTATTCGCACCTTGTGCGTCATTCATCTCTACTGCGTTCAGCATTAGCGCTCGTACACTTCAGACTTCGCAAAAGGAAAGGAGTTTCAGAAGGAACATCATCTGTATTTCCAGCTGATTTTGACTTCAAGCTAGTTCTTCGGGATATTTGGAACATGATCAGATTGCAGTTCACTAGTGATAAATATTTACAATACACCCATACTATACATATTGAATTTCCGCGTGATTAGATCCAGTAGGGGAGAAGTTACGACTGAAAAGTACAACTGAAGAAGCATTTCGTCGAATACTTTTGAGCGCTACTGTACGTATACGGATTAGTTTCTACAAATTTTAATCATTTATTCATCAAGTATTAAAGGCAGGGATTGCCATGACTGATATATCAATCTAATAGAAGGCTGAAAGCACTTACGAGAGCTATGTAGTACCAAGAAAGCGCTATTATACAAGTGTATTGCTTGTAGATTTCATTAGTTTTATAAAATTCACGATTTCTGCTTTTTCGGATCGAATAAATCCACTCAACGACCTGATCAGAAATTCAGGCAAAAAGGGTAACTCTATAAATCTGAATCTTACGACATAGCGAATATGATTACGACATGTCGAATGAAATCATCTATCAGTAAGCACTCTTACTCTGAAGGACACGCTCGTAAAGATCGTAAGAAATCTGCAATTTATAACCTGGCAACTAAAAGGCTACTGAGATTTATTTCAGAATCAATGAGATTTTTCATGACTTGTGATCTTATTTTATACTCTCCAGGTGTTTGGAAATTTTAATGAATCAAATTAGAAACAGGGCAATATTCTGGGATGACCAAAGACTTTCCACCCTCTTTTCGTTGTGAAGACGACTCTCGTACTCAACAACTGAACGTTAAAAAAATCTCAAAAGCACCGTTTACGATAAGAATGGTTCCTGAGTTCTCCTCCCAGGCATACTCAGTGGCCCCCAAACGTAATAAAAGGACCCTCTCGCGCCCAAGAACTTGACGGTTAGGGCATAGTGGGAGCCCTGTTCCCGGCTCGCGCGGCCTTCCCGCTTCTAGATCAATGACACGTCAGACGAGTGTCGAGGCGATACAGATTGCAAATGTTCGCTCCAGGGCTGTAAGGTATGCTCCCCCGAACAGGGGGGTGGTCCCCTTCCCAGTAAAGTATGCTCTTGGGGAGAGCTTTCGGGGAGAGGCCACACCCACTGGTTCGAGGGGAGAACTTCTCGAACAACGCGCGATCGGGGCTAGCCGGGACTACCGTAGTCCCGTGACCGTAGAGTGCGGAATTGTCTATAGGGCGCGCAATTCTTCTACGGCGTACGCATTGTTTCACTCCCCTTCCGAACAATCCTTGGTTTTCATGCATTGAACGGTTTCATTTGTACTTATTGTTCTCACGCGACATTATATTATGCTCAACCATGAATTTTATCCGTGATATTGCTATCGTTTCGCATTCTTGTTGATGTCACTTAGTAGGCCAGTTGTGCAGTGCCGAATTTGTTTTTCAGAGCGTTTTTCGGCACTATTGCATTATTACAACTCCATTTGGGGTGAGATGAGTCAAAAAAATTTTCGCTGAAAATTCCCCTATGAGGGTTATCGAGGGCCCTGATCACGAATATGGCATCCACTTGTTGGCGCTTGCCAGGTGGCGCTACGACTGCTTCTCACCAAATTCGCTGTAAATTTGTGTAGGGCTTATTTGGGGCCTGGTTACAATTATGACACTCGTTTTTGACATTCGTGTTGTTCAACGCATATTATCTGCTCGTCTGCACCCTTGCACTAACTGATTGAATGGCTGATCAGACATCGCGGTGGCGGTGCGAGGGGCGGGAGATTTACCAGGCCGACCACCGACAGCCCAGCGCCATCAGTCGTAAATAGCCTACCGCTCGCACTGCGCGATTCGGATGCGAGCGGCAATGGTCGCGCGATTCACATTTCTCCCATCTTGCCCAAACCGGTCCAATCGCAGAGTCTGACATCAGCCAATCAGGACTAACAATAAGCCCTTGGATAGTGGACTGCTCCTGGTGAGTAAGCCATTCACCCTGTCGCGAATGGCGGACGGCGCAGACGATTACAGAGAACGGCACATGGCGCACCTCCAAATCGTAAGGGGGAAGGTGGGAGCCCTAAGGCTGAGGAGGAACTCTTAGGTGGAGTTACACTAGGCGATAGCTTGAATATGTGAATCACAATGGTCATCAGCCGCCGACAATGCGAGAGAGCTCAGACCAGAGAGTGAACTGAGGCAATTGAAAGGCAGAGTTCAAGTAGCCCGTCAACCTAAGCGACTAGATACGCAAAAAAGGCGACGCTATGATAAGGCAGTAGAGGAGGTTGGAAAACTTTTATAGATTGTTTTGCTCAGGCTACCAGGATAGGTTCTTATCCGGTAAGGGGGCATCAAGCTATAATTGGTACAATAAATTGGTGCCAGGCTCCCAAAAAAAGATATAGACACTGAACTGTACATCGACTGATCACCGTAACTCATTCTCTCGGTCACATACCCAATCAAAACTGTTCCCGACATTACTATTTTACAGTGGATTCTGGACTGTACCCATGCACAGCCCCAGATAACCTTATACTGACAGCACGATAACACGATCCTATCTAAGCTTATATCTTCACCCCAATCAAAGCGTCATTCAAACCAATTAAAAGAAATGTACGAAGAAATTCCATGGAACAAATAACCGAAGCCCGATTTACCTGACGGGGGATTTTCGCTCGAAAAATCATAGCTTGTAATACGATGTTTAACTCACCTGCTTCAATCAGAATCAAACACATCCATGGTCCCAGGAAGCCCAGATTTTCATAGTAGGACCCCCTACTTTTACATGCCTAGAGAGAAAAGTGCTAAATGTATTCCAAAGCAATCCACCACCAGCACTAGTCTTTCAATATTCTGCACTTTCTAATAGCGTTATTTCGATTAAGTCTAAGCATTAGAAATCGGAGCCCAAAAAAATGAAATGCTGTCATTGCCGAGCCCGCCCCTACCTGCTTAAATCAATGTTATTCCATTCAGGAAATTACTGCTGTTTGGACAGAGTACTTTTAACGATTGTCAATGGACGGCCTCTTACCCGGATCCGACTTTGCTCTATTAAGTAATTACAAATATACATGCCTTGAAGAGAACTGTACTACAGATCCGAACAGTATTGGCTATGAATTCAGCCGAAGGATGATTCCTTTCTTTTCTTGTAATATTATGGTAAGTGACATACTGTAGATGGGATAGCTTGATTGTGTACAGCTTTATACCGTACCTTGATTTACCTCTTTCGCAATCCTTCGGGATTTCGGAGGAATTTCAAGCTTTTACTGGCTAACTTCATCTCGAATCCATAGCTTCGACCGCTTCAACAGAGCCAAAAACACACGAAGCGATGAATTCGAGATGATATGGGCACTGACTGGAGGATATTGTAGGGTCCCCTGAAAGACGAAGCACTTTTGTAGATGAACTACTTCAAAAACTGTAAATTATCTATTTCAGCTCGATACCATTGGCTTTCTACTATTCGGCCTTGTCATAT